CCCTGACACACACACACACACACACACACATACACACACACACACACACACACACACACACACACACACACACACTCACACACACACACAACAAAAAAAAAACAAAAAAAATGCTTCCCCACAATTTCCCATATTTTCTGGGTTTCTCCCTTCCCCCCCACTGCCAATAGTTTCCCATATGTTCTGGGGAATCGACGATTAATTGTGTCTGTGTGTTTTTTCTCCTCCTGAGCTTAAGCCTCGACCTTTCCGAAAAAGTGCTTCAACCTTCTTCGAAAACGAGGACGGCGTTTGAGAAGGCGCGAGGCCGCCTGCCTCTCTCCCCCTTCTCCCCCTCCTCCCCCTCCTCCTCCTCCAATTCCTCCTCATTTTCCTCCTCCTCCTCCTCCTCCTCCTCCTCCAATTCCTCCTCCTCCTCCTCCTCCTCCTCCTCCTCCTCCTCCATTCCTTTTCCTCGAGGGCGCCCCCCAGGCGAGCCCCGGCGACGCCCCTCTCCCCGGGCCCAGAGCAGCAGCCACCACTCGAAGAGAGGGGGGGGTCTCTCGTCCGCTCGCGCCGTGAGCGGCCATGAACAAGGAGCACTTGCTTTTCAAAAAGGGGCTCGGTCGCTCCTAGGTTCGCATGCGTTTATGTATCGATCCGTGTGCGTCATTCCCTGGAAACAAGTGGCTTCGTTCCTGATTTATCGTTCCTCCGGTCAGGCCGATGGCTGTGTTCTTTTGGAGGGGGGGCACTCGCGAAGCACCAACCAACGTCCACAAAACGAGGTCTCTAGAGTCTGGCTGCCGGCTGCCGAACCTCTGGCGTGCGGAGCACTTCCACACGGAGGCGTTTCGCCGGGCCTCGCGGAGCCCTCAGGAGACGACGCGAGTGCGAAGCTGGCCCCGCGGATCAAGCAGGAGATCGCCTACAGAAGCGATTTGCTCCCAGACGGATCTCGCTCGCCGAATCTACGAAGCAGGACGTAGAAAGCCAATCGACATACGAACACGCTGCGTATTCCTCGTAGGTTCGGCGAATAGCACGAATCCTGGGGCAGGTCAATGGTGTACAGTCCTCGGCCTGACCTAAGGAACGATAAATAAGGAACGAAGCCCGTTTTTGCTCCAAGGAATAACTCATCATGAACGACAACCAAGAAATACCGCATACATAAAGATACATAACGCACGCAAGCCTAAGGAAAGACCGAGCCCCTCTGGAAAAGCAAGTGCTCCTTGTTCCTGATTCGAGCCGCTCGCTCGAGCGAGTGCTCCTTTCCCAAGCCGCCCACTCCAGCCCTGCAGGCCGCAGCACGCCAGATCGGGGATCTCCTGACCCGGGTCAATCCAGACCAGGGTCAGCAGGAAATCAAAAACTGCAATGCAGGAAGAAAAAAAAAAAAACTGCAGCGCAGGTCTTCGCAAACCCGGGTCAGCCGAGATGTGCGGCCGCCTCGCGGCCACGAGCGGCTCCCTGACCCGGGTCAGCCAGAGGGGGCCTTCGCGGGATCCTGCAGGATCCGGCGCCCTGGCTGACCCCCGTCTGCATTGACCCCGTGCCCCAAGGCTCCCGATGCCAGACCTCTCGGGCCCCGGCGCCCGGGCGCCCTCGCGGCGCACGGGGGCCCCGAGGCCGCCCCACCCCCGCGCCGAGGGCCCGAGAGCGCGGACGTGCCGGACCCGGAGCGGCGGCCTCGCGCGGGCGGCCCCCGCGAACGGCGGTGGGCGGATGCTGCCCCCCTATTGACTACCTACCAGACCACCCCAACCC